TTTCATTCAATAAAAATTCGTTTAGAACTCTAAGCGATATAACGCGACATAAAATATAACATTTGTTTCACGTTTCGATAAATGTTTCAAGTCACATAAATTGATTTACACTCTATAATTCATACATTATCAAATAAACATGATGCACATGCAATGTTTTAGCAAACGATTGTACAGTGTAACACCGAGGGTGTTACAGACTTGTTCTCTATTTTTGACGCTGGTGGAAGCTCATAGGTGTCGACGACTGGAGGTAGGTCGCTGCGGGTGCGGCTGTCTAGAGGAACTCCCCGGTGGCGGCGTGGCCGTCTAGAGGAACCCCCGTAGCATGCGCGGCCGTGAGGAGGAACTTCAGCAGTGGTCGCGACCGTCTAGAGGAACTCCGGCGTCATGCACGGTCGTGAGGAGGAACTTCAGCGGCGGGAGCGACCGTCGGCAGGTTGTCCTCACCTCCTCAGTGGGCAAGGACATGAAGAGGAACTCCGACGGTGAGCGCGCGCGTCAGTAAGTCATCCTCGGTGGGTGCGAACGTCAGGAGGAAGAGCGGCGGCACGTCGCGACTGTAGATCACACGACGCCACGTCATGACTCTAGCGAAGGAGATGAATCACGAAGGCGCGCGCGTCTGGAAGAGGACCGAAGTGAGGGTTGTGAGAGGAAGGGAAAATGTGTGCGCGTGGATAGGGTTGGGGTATCGATGGTTTTTTTTTCACAACCGGGTGAAACTTTAGCCCTTGTTAGTTGGGTTTGATGGACTAGTTGGCAAACAACTAATTTGGGCTTTGGCTAAATTTTAGCCTACCCATTAGCCCTCCTGATTGGATCCTCAGGGGTTAAAGTTTAGCAACTAGTTGTTATCCCAAGGGGTTCAAATAGGGCCGTAAAGGCCTTCAATAGCTTTGAGCTAGGTTCCATATGTCATAAGGCTTGTCCCCGTAGTACAGATGGTTTCACTTATCTCTATCTCTATACCTAAAAAGACTCTAACGTCATTATCTACCCGGTGATACCAAATCTTGATCCCTATTCATGTATCCATGACCCATATGAATCATCCTCTACTCGAAGCTCACGCATCCACGCCCTAACTAGTTCGATGCGAAGACCGGATCCACGTGTGCGCGTCTGATTTGAAGTCCCTGGAGCTTACATGTTCGATAACTGAGGTTCAATTCAAGAAATTATGACTCCGGTGCAACGCACGAGTATATGTCTAGTATAAAAATGCCTCTAATTTTATGTTGCTCTACACACACATGTCTTCTCGTTTTCTTCCGGGCATTTATCCATCCTAGCACCCCGTCTCCAGTCCTATCTCGGTGGCCCTATTTCCTCTACCTCCACTCACGCGCCTTGCCTCCACACATTGAGCTCGTTCCATGTTGTTCATCCTATGTCCCCACCGCCCACGCATCCTCAGTCCTCCATACGCACCCAAGGTCACCAAGGCCATCATCGATGCCTCCTCCGCCCTCCACCCGCCACTGGAGCCAGCCGCCCCTGAGCCTGCTCCACTCCACTCAATTGTCCATCACGCCTCCTCTATCCTCACCCGTCAACCTCCACACATTGAGCTTATTTTTCCATGTTGTTCATCCTATGTCCCCACCGCCCTCACGCATCCGATAAGGTAGAACTTTGCCTCCATAACGCACCAAGGTCACCAAGGCCATCATCGATGCCTCCTCCTTCTCCTATGGCCCATCTCCAATATCCAAAGCAAAGCTAGCGCCCGGACGTTTTGAGAGCGCCCTGCCGCTGCACCATTCAGCGACATGCACCCCCTGCCATTGTGTTTCCCCACGCTGCGCCACCACGCCTTCTCCATTTCCCACAGCGCTCGCCTCTCCATCCAAAGGAGTATATCCTTCAAACATGAAACACTCAAACCACACCCACCACCGATGTTGTTGAACATACATGCAACATACGTCTAAAACAGACGAAACATTTTGAACAGATACTTGTAACATATGTGTATATCCATTACAGCATATGTAATATCCGAACCTACTTTTGCAACGTCATGAAACATATGCATAAACTTTTCAACACAATATCTCCTTGTTGCTCGGCCGAATCGATCACTGCAATCAACATTGTCCATCGCTGCCTCCTCTATCCTCACCCGTCAACAACACATTGTTGGTGCATTGCAGTGAGCGGCAATGGTGTGATGTGCAAAATTATTTTTTATTGCATGGGGTCGGTTCTTCCACTAGAGATCAGACCTTTACCTTTTTTTGGATTAAGACCTTCTCAAGGTCGATCAGTGTAACGTATAAGGTAGAACTTTGCCTTTTTTTTCTCAAAACACGCAGGAGAAGCACGTATCATTATAGTAAGAAAAAAAAAGGAAAGAGCAACCTTTCTTGCTTCTCATCGCACTCTGATGAGAAAAATAGGAAAAACATCAAAAAAAAAAACTCCATCTCCAATATCCAAAGCAAAGCTAGCGCCGCCACTGACGCTTTTGAGAGACGCCTATTTGTTGACCATTGATATGGGATAGATTATTTATTTTGATTTGGTGTGAGAGAAAAACACTGTTACTACCGTTTACGAGCCAGCAAACATGCTGTATAACTTCGCCCGGCAGATACCTTCCGCAAATCCTTCCGTTCCGAAACTGCACTCCGGCGCTCTCGCATTCCCGTTTCTATCGCGCGCGCCCGCTCGCCGCCTCGCCGGAACCCTAGAACCCCGCCGGGCCGGCGCCGATCACGGACCGCTGCCGTCCGCGGCGATTCTCCTGGCCGATTTGAGGACGCCGATGACGGCGGCGAGTCGTCCGCCGCCAAGCACCGCCGACTCATCCGCGCCAAGGAGGAGTGGTAAGTGTGGCTGAGGCCCTCTTAGTCTCCTCCTCATAGTCCCCCCCCGCTTCGCGTCGCTCTTAAGGCGGCGTGGCGGTTGGTACGACGCGTAATCGGCCGCGGGTTTAGGGTTGTCGTCCTGGGTTTAGGACTGCACTGAGATCATGATTCGAAGCTTGAGTATATCCTTCAAATATGAAACATGGCTTCTCTCTTTCTTCTCTGTCAACATATCAAGCTGAGTGAAACATTGCAGAAGATCTCAGAACCAAGGAGCATTGGCTCCTTATTTAGAACATACACTTATAACATATGTGTATAGCTACTATAATATATGCAACATACAAAGAAAATATAGATTGGCATGGCACTATGATCCCAGGGCATGTGTATGACATTATCCCCCCCTGAAGATTCAGCTTGCCCTCAAGCTGACGCTTTTGTAACTTTAGATGTGTAGATAGCTTGAACTGTGATCGCCTGGGTCCCATGGAAAAGTCAACCTCAGTTTCTCCATCACTGAAGTTATAGAAATCAGAGTTTCCAGAATCTCATGTCCAAGTAGCACAAGACAGAGCTTAGTGCATTTATATATTGGAATTGTTAATACCTCAGTTTTTGCACCAACGAACTGATATAGGAGCATTTGTCCACCAACTTGCTCTAGTCTATCTTGAAATTTTTTGTTTACTTTAGACCCGAGCAATGGGATCAAAGCAAAAAAAAATGATTTTGAAGTGTTGTTGCATGCCATCTCCAGGGTCGAATACATTTATATTCCAAGGTGACATTTTCTCAGAACAGTACCAGACCAAATTAGATTTCCATGGGCTGAAATGTTTATGCCACCACTTCATTGTAGCCATGACCATTTGACAAGCTGCACTAATTTCCCACATATTCCCTGGTTGACCTTGTAAGTGATCTGTATGAATTACTGCATGTTCTAGGAACAACAAAGGATCACCAAATAGGGCAAGTATGTTTTCTGTCTCCTGATTAGCAAGCCTGGGCATCGTAACATCTGGGGTCACAATAAGCATTTCTGTAAACTCCAGATCATTAGCATGAACAGCAAGCTCCAGAATTAATGGCAAGTCATTAAGCTCAAGCGTCAATTTGGTCTTCGTGTTATCTGTGCACACCTGAGCGCATGTAGGTTGCTGTAAGCTGAGGTCATGTGGATGCTCCTCATTCCACACAGTAGGTGACTGCACTATCATCAACACAACAACAGATATATGCAGGTTGTTCATTACAATACCAGGATCTCGGCGTTGCTGAAAATGTCCAGGGCCGAAACCACCCGACAGCTGGTCAAGCACTACACAACTATTTACCATCCTCAAATGTTGGAGATTGCAGACACACCGCGCTGCCATGACAAGTGCTCATCCCATACAAAGTCCTGTGCATTTCCTCAGGTACCTTGGGTATAAGCAGTTGGCCATCCCTCTGCAACAGTGGCATACCTTTTCTTTCCTCTCCATCTTTGTCAGTTATCAACCCATCTGTATGAGGTATTGTATGTTGTAATCACTCATTTGACATGGCATTCCAGCAAATGTCTGGTGAGTAGGACACATTGCAGATCCTGGCAGTTGCAACATAATGTGAGGAAATATTATCGATATCAAAGCTGCCACGTCACAAAAGAGTTGAGAAAAAAGCTTTGTGGTCATTTAGGAAGAAATCTGAAAAGCCATCTCATTGACGATGCATGACGTGATATTATGCCAGGTGAGCCGTATCATCCCTAAGTTCAGTTTTTTTCTCACGCTATATTGATGCGTTGTGATTTCCAACCTACTCTTCTTTGCCACCCCCACAAACCGCGATTGATCATGCTGCAGAACATTAATAAGTTGTTTCATGATGATAAAAATGATAGGACCTTGTTAAGCATCAAAAAAACAGTAACACGAATTCGGCTACTGCGCGAGGCGCGAGAACGCTCACCGTACTTCCCCAAACTGGCGGGCACGGAGGCGCGGTTCCGAGCAAGAGGCCGCCACTGCCTATAACTTCGCCCGGCAGATACCTTCCGCAAATCCTTCCGTTCCGAAACTGCACTCCGGCGCTCTCGCATTCCCGTTTCTATCGCGCGCGCCCGCTCGCCGCCTCGCCGGAACCCTAGAACCCCGCCGGGCCGGCGCCGATCACGGACCGCTGCCGTCCGCGGCGATGGCGGCGGCGCGGCGTCTTGACCTGGCCGAGCGATGGCGCGGGATCCAGGAGGATGAGGACGCCGATGACGGCGGCGAGTCGTCCGCCGCCAAGCACCGCCGACTCATCCGCGCCAAGGAGGAGTGGTAAGTGTGGCTGAGGCCCTCTTAGTCTCCTCCTCATAGTCCCCCCCCGCTTCGCGTCGCTCTTAAGGCGGCGTGGCGGTTGGTACGACGCGTAATCGGCCGCGGGTTTAGGGTTGTCGTCCTGGGTTTAGGACTGCACTGAGATCATGATTCGAGCAGCTTGCTGGACCTTTATGCTCGAGGTTTGCTTTGGGAAGTTGGATAGTGCAACGCGAATGTATGTGCCTATGGCTTCTCTCTTTCTTCTCACATTACTTGCAGGTTTCAGGTTCTATTAACGTCATGAATGCAATCATTGTTGTAACGGAATCCATGCTGTTGGATATCTAGTGGCAGTATTTTTAGGTTGCGTTTGGTTTGGGGACAGTTGATAGGAATTAGATTTTGTGAAGCTTAACTTTTTATTAAACGGTCATTGCAGACATAGTTTGACATTTGTAATGTGCTCTAAAGTAGACCATCCGACACAACATTTACAGTAAGGATTTTTTTTTTGAAAAAATAGAAAGTAAAAAACAAGACCTGCGGGTGAAAGACCACCCCGCGGGTGAAAGCTGATGTAATTTATGGTTGCGAATGAAAGTCATCTATCTGAATTTGACTTGTGTCGGAACAGCAAAAGCATTTAGATACTAGTTTTGTGGTGCTCCCTCTTATTTCCCCTTATTACCCCATTGAGATGAGATATTACATTCATGTTTGTCTAATCACCTGCAGGTTTTCACATTGCTATACCTTTCTGATAAATTTACCAAAACAAGATCATATTTGGTGTGGATATGCTGATATCATGAGCCCCTTCTTGGAGACATTCCATGGCTTCTTTGACGATGAAGATGAGAACTCATCTCTTCGAATAATATGGAGAAGAGTTTCCCGAGAAATGGGCATTTGCACACAATGTGTATGTGAACACCACCAGGCACAAGGATTTTTCGATACCGAATATCAGTCAGATACTGTTGATCCCCTTCTGAAAGTATTGCGGCTTCTTGATGAAGAGAGGGTAACAGGACATCTTATACAGATCAACACAAAGATTCAGCTCAAGGAATATGACCCTTCATGCCATGGTGCAGAAGTTGTTAGCATAATGTTCGAAGTATGCTCCATTCATGTGATGCCTTTTCAGTTTCTCTTTTTGAAACATATTGATTTCCTCTTGTAAAACATGGATTTCTTCTACTGACCTTTTTTTCTTGAGAAGTATGAGCATGAACAATGATTTATAACTTGAGACTACTTCTAGTTCTTTTCTTTAGGGTGCATTGGGATTGAAAAGGACTAACAGTTAGTCAAACTATGGGCATGTTTAGTGTACAAAAGTAGTATAAATGTATTGATGTTCCACAGATCTTTTAATACAACATTTATTTGTAGCAATTGATGATATTTCATAAGATAAACAGATGGTCCAAGTATATTTTTAAAGGCTTTTCAAATCCTATAATACGCCCAATAAAAAGAAATGGAGGGAGTAGTAACAGGTCACAACACTGCATAGAGTATATAAAGATAAACTTGCAATTATTTATTAATGCTTACCATCATTGCATAATCTGTGCTGCTGATTTTGTTTTTGTTATTAGGTGAAGATTGACACCCATTGGTCGCATATGTCTTTCCACCAAATTAATCGAATGCAATTGCTATATTTACGACACATAGGGAACATAATTAGCCTGTGCATATGCTGTACTGTGTTAATGGGCAGTAAATGACAGCTTATTTCCCTTTTCTTTTGTTGTGTGCTGCTGCCAATGAACCTGGTCCTTTTATTTTTAAAACAAGTAACCATGACAGACTCTTGTTTCCTTTTTCTTTCTTTGAGATATTTAAAACCACTCCCACAGTTTCTTAAGTACGGTAACAACCATAACATACTCTTTCCTTCATATTTGCAGGTTTTGATGTATCCTGTTCTATTGGATGACCAATCATTGGCTAATCAATTTCAGATGTTCATTGAAAAAATTGATGAGACATACGAAGTGAGGCTTTCAACTAATCAGCAATACCCTGTAAGCTAACTTTTCCCTTGACCCTGCTCAAAGCGCAGCTAACAATGTCTCAGTTGAGTATTGGAGCCTTAAAAGATGGATATGTTCTGAATAATCAAGCCGTTCATGATACATATTTCTCACCATTATTTTAGTCTATTGCTCAAATAGTAGTGTTAAGATTCTCCATCTTACAATGTTTTTAAAACTTTCAAATCTAGGGTGTCTATGCCCTACTTTTCTTCAAAAGTTGTAAAGCTCGGGCTATTGGGCTTCGATTAGCTCGATCCATGGGAAAACTGAGGTAATGCACTCTCCATTTGTCTGTTCATCGTAAGCCAAGAAACTTACTAGACATTTCTGAAGGATGTACTAGATAGGAATATTCATCTACTCAATTGTGCAATGTGGGCAGTTAGGCACGGTGGCCGGGTGGTGAAACTGCGCGAGGATCTGTTAACCGTGTTGATAGTTTCTGTTTTTTGTCAACCATATTGTTTATTAGCACTTCATACTTGAAGTCTTAATACCTATGGAATATATATTGTCATTTCCTTAAGTGGTAGTGACCCTAAATCAGGGGCGGAGCTAGAGAAATATGGAGGGCGGCCATGCTGGTAAATGTCAAAGGAACAGTGTGATTCAATAGTACTATGGGCAAGGTTTTAACATGTACATTAATAATAAAATAGTGGTAATTGTGCTTACTATTTACCAGAGTAGAGTTAGGGAATGCTACAACTAGAAACAAAAGATTATCAATATTGGAAAAATGCAATCCTCAACCACAAGATACTCAACCATTTAGTTTTAAGAAAACAATTTATAGAATGATTTCTCGCACTACCACAGTATCGTGCTTTTCTTTTGAAAATTCTCTCCATCTGTATCCTAGCGGCAGCAATAATATACAAATTATGAAATACTCAATCCCAAAACAAATAACTTTCTAGAAATTTTAAGATAAATTAAGGATGCTGGCAAAAGACACATATACCCTCGTCTCCTTCCTTTCTTGAAGGATATCTCCTAAATTTGATATATAGTTATCGTTTCCTTTCTTGAGGTAGTGTCTCATTTTTTTGTAGAACTTTATTTTTTTTGTTAAATTTTAAATCTTGGAAAGTTTTTTATTTTGGGACGAAGAGAGTATCATACAAATAATAAAAAACCTATCAACCTAACCATAGAATCTGGACAAGGACAAGCGACCAAGAACCATAAAATTGAAACCAAATTGGATGCTTAATTGATGGAAATTGAAAGAGTTAAGAGAATCTTTGGAATTTCTTATTGATTTGTTTTGTGATCGGTGATGAGTAAAAGGGATCGCTTGGATGCCTCATCTCCTACGTGTTGATCGCTTAGACTTATTGTGCCACGTGAGCGGTGCACAGCCGGCGGCAGCTGACGACCACCGAAGTTTCCTCATGTGATGCAAGAGGCTAGGAAGGAGAGGCGTGCATCAGGGGCAAGGCGCTAGTACGCGAAGCGTTGCAGGCTTGCAGCGTCTGAGTGTCAGGGACAAGGCGACTGTGCGTGGATTTATTTTGTGCATAGGCTGCCTAGTGCCTGCTGGGAGTTGCTCGGTTGTTTAAACTTTCTCCATTGGCTTAGCTGGGCTGTGGGTGCAAACATTTGGGTTTGGGGGGTGGGGTGCAAATAGGGTAGAAATTTGATAGCTATAACTTGTTTTCAATTTTGCACCCACATGGCCATATATACATCCGCCCCTGCCTAAATGGTCATGATAGCATGAGCAAATCAGTTTATTTTTCATCTATAGAAAGCTTATGATAAAGTTGCGTTGGCGTTGCATTTATTTATACATGTATTCTCTATTTTCCCTGACTTTGAACTCATGTACAATATTTGGGAAACTCATAAATTTGTTAAAACCACCTCAGTTGTTTCATCTATTTAGTTGTTCCTCAACTCTTGGTAATTATCTAATATTGCTGTTGCACAAATGCTTCTTTCCTCTGCTTTCAATACTTCCTTTCCATATTATAACCGAAAATCATTCTCCCATCTCTTCCTGCTTCTCTATCCACATCAAGCCATCCTTCGACTAATCCAATTAAATAACAGCCTTATATTCAAGGAAACTATTGCTATATACAACTCACTATTTAACTTTATGCAAGCTGTACCTGAGCAATTGCTCTAATGATGTTTCGGCATAAGCATGTTGAGTCTCGTTTTAACTTAGTTGGGATTTAACATGTTGTGTTTTGTTAACCAGGCCCAGTTTAAGTATAAAGTCATCACATGTAAATATGTTGACAATAATTTGCAGGAGAGCAGTTGACTTGGAGCCATTGCAACCCTTATTACAGAAGTATATTACCTTTTTGGAAGCGGAAGTTCTTCCATCTACTTCAGAACATTTGAGACCTAGGGTGCAGCTCAAAAGAGCCGACATATGGCTTGGATTTAAATCACTGTATGTAAGTTTAAAACATGGTTCACTGCATATGTATTCTATAAACATCACGCCTGTTAATTTGTTGACTTGGTTGTTTCAGCCTTGGATTTCTTGAGGCTCCAGCTTTTGAAGATGGAGTTCTGGAAAAGTACCCATTCCTGAATATTGTACTTAACCATGTCAGTGATGACACATCTGATTTGTCGTGTGCTGTAAGTTGCCTCAAGGCTTCATTTGAAATGCTTGGTAAGTGTGCTGAGTTTCTTTTGACCTGTGATGCTTGCACTGTTGCAAGATTTACATTCGCTTGTTGTAGGTTGCAAGCTTTGGCTGAGAACAACACTATCACCTAGTGTTATGCGGAACACATTATTGGGTCACTGTTTTCATACGCGCAATGAGAAAAGTCACAAAGAAATTTTTGATCTTTTCCTCCCATTTCTTCAGGCATGTTTGTTATTCCTTTACTTGACTGTCCTCATCTAGGAAACATTTATGTAAATATGACAGGTCAGTTACCTGTATGCAGTCACTTGAAGCGCTACAAGACGGTGAACATGAAAAGCAAAGGAGGAACATTTTGTATTTTCTTCTTCATCAAGTTACCCGGAGTAATAATTTCAGTGCTCTGATGAGAAAAACTGCAACTAAGGTTAGCTTGGTGTTTTCTGCCTTTCAAGTTATTTGAGATTCCATTTAAATCCCCTCACAATTTTGTTTCCTGTATTCCCTCATTTTCTTTTCTGGTTATTGAGTGCCACCTTTCTAGGACATACCTCTTGTGTTAGTTTGAATCTTTGGAATAAATTAAGCATGATTGACCTTGTCAACTTGCCATCTTAATAACACTCTATTCAGGATCATTGATTTTTGGTGGTGATGAAGTGGTTGAAGTATCTTGGTGTTTTAAAGTAAATCATCCTTTAATAAATTCTGTCACGGGAGGTTTAAACCATCTTTGAAATTGTATATCACTGTTTAGTGGAAAAACAGCTAACCAAGCTACCAAAGGATTTTGTTTATGTTTTTCAAATTGTATGGTGGTTCTCATTTCATTTACTGATGTTGCAAAAATCATACACTGTTATTGGTTGGTGTTAGTGATGTTTTTTTTTTCTTTCTAATTCTCTTTACCTTCCAGATTGCACTTCTTATTGTACAAAGAGGCTACACAATGAGCCCTCCATGCCCACCTTCAGAATGCGCCCATATGTGGTAATGAACACGGATGCTTATTCTGACAATAGTTTATGTATTAGATTGCTCATTATGATGTATTGATGCCATCTGTAATAGTTCATGGTGATGCTATTTAATAGAAGCAGAGAGGAAACCACTGATTTGTTGCCCACATAATATCTCATAGCAGATATGCTTTTAATGTTTCTTGGATTGTTATGTTGTAATGTCATGCATGCTTTTGTTAAGTGCTATATTATTGGTTAACATTGTTCCTGGTCTTTGATGTTAAATTTCTTATTCAGTTGCCTTGTTTCTAAATTAATCAGTATGAAAATAGTATGGTGCCCTCGGACATGTGCTGTCAAATTGTTTTCACTCTGAACTAATCTTAGTTAGCATGTAGATTGGCCATATGGGAAGTAGGATTATAAAATGGGCCTGGGTTTACAGGTTGGGCAGGGCTTGCAACACTACACACATGTTACCAGGTGTGTGTCAACTGTCAAGTGGTTTACATTGGTTGTTCATGAGTTGAATTGTCTTCTGAGCTAGGTGTTTTTTTTGTTCCTGTTTACTGATTTTAATTTGATGAGCTACGTGAGTGAAATAACCTCATCCAACCCAAACTATTCCCTGTCTATCTCTTACTGACTGCTCACACATATGTCGGACTAGGCAATTCATTAATCTGAATAATATAGTGGATTAATATTTGTTAGTTTATTTCAAACAAACTAATGTTTGTACTGCTTCTGGATTGCCATTTTCTGAGTTTTTTTTTGGAGAACGTGCCTGAGCACGTTTTCTCCTTTGAGTTTTACTTCATTTATCTATTGTTTTCAGGCATCTTATGATCTTTATTTTTTTAATAGGGGCCCATCTTTGATCAGTTCGATAGAGGATACATCCTTACATGATTCATTGCGACAACCTGCACTTGTTCTCATCTATATTATCATAATTTCTGATGCTTCTGCCTTGATTTACTATAAATTGAAGTATGGAGCTGTTCAAAAGGTCAATGTAAGCAATTCTGTCATGTTTGCTGATGACGATGATGAATTACCTTTCTCGCATGATGCTGAAGAGAAGTCTCAAAGTTGTTGGAATGACTTCAATGTTCTGAACAAGTTGGCAAGTCGGGAATGCAAGGATTGGAAATGCGTGCCTTTGTTGTGGTATCTTACAATGGTTCAGTTGGAACCCTCTAAGCTACCCATAGCATTTTCAAAAGCAGTCCTTTGGGGGTTATCTCATATTTCTATTTTAGAGCCTGGATTAGCTACAGAGTGGTCAGTGCCTGTGAATGCTTGGTTATCATCACATGCTGGAGAAGTTTCCTCAACATTTACATGGCAAGTTCCAAATGGTGCTGATGATGGTGGTGGTGGGAAGGATTGTATTAATGCTGTCAAGGTGTCACAGTTTTGCACTCTCTTACTGAGAATATTTAAAAGGTTGGTTCTATTTTATTAAATCTATATCTTTCATCTGATTCGATCTATTTAGTTTTTTATTAAATGCTATATCGATATCTTGCATTGGCAATGTGGCATATCATTTACTGATTGCAAACCTTAAGTCCTTAGTATTTCTACCAGAATGTCATACATGAAATTAATATCTTTTAGGTTAGCCATTCATGTCATGACACAAATTGAACAACGTGGGCTCCAAAAGCAGTGGACTTGGGAACCAATGATGGGAGAAAGTTTGATATTGGCGCTAGTCGATAATAATGATGTAAGGTTACTTCCATTATGTTTTATAATCCTACTCGTTGCATCTAACTGCTTAGTATTACTCATTACTCTACTTATTATAGGACGTGCGTCAAGTTGGGAGAGCTATCTTGGAACATGTATCCCAAGCACGGGGTTTGACTTCTGGGCTTCAATTTCTGTGCTCGAGTGCATTTTCACTCACTGCTGTTTTTCTGGGTCTAAGATATGTAGTGCAACTGGTAAAACTTCAGACTCTCCTTGTCTCTGGCATTTATCGTCATTTTGGACTTTGGAATTGAAGCATGAATCCAAGTTTGAAATTCGCTTGGTTGGTGTTAGACTGTCAGTTTCTTGCAGAGTTGCAGTTACTGGAGGAATACGAGCAGAAACAATTTGGTCATATTTAAAATCTGTTTTTCTCGAACACGTACAAGAGCTGTGTTTCATTGTATTAAAGAACCCTGAGTACACACATACTAATACCACTAAATCTGATTTTTGTACAAACAGTTTTGGGATGGGAATTATGGTATCTCTTAGAGCATCTCCAAGAGTTCCCAATAAAGCATCCCAATCCAGGATTTTTGGCAAGAATGGAAAAAACCCATCTCCAAGAGTTCCCAATCCCACCTCCCAATCTTTTGGCACTTGGAAAAAATCACCGAACGTGCGTATATATCCGTGAATTGCTCGACGCGCGTATCCCCTCCGCCCGCTATCCAAAGGCGCGTATCTTTCGGCCAATCTAGAGGTCTAAGGGTGGGAAAAGAATAAAGAGTAGGAAAAGGTTGCTGATGCAAATGTACAAGAGAGAAAGAATATATAGAAGTGGTTAGGATAATTTAGAAATAGTATGGGATTCCTGATATAAAATTGTCTTCTATATTTTAGGAGTGAATTATTGGAAACTGTTGGAGATGATCTTATTTATTCCTCCCAATACTTTTTGGCGACTTGGAAAAGTCTATGATTTTGGCCTTTTGGGAAGAAATTCTTAGGAACTCTTGGAGATGCTCTTAGTTCTAAAGGGCAGTAGTTCTATTCAATTTGAGGATCAAGGAGAACATATTTTTTCACTTACCTATTCATTCAGTTGTATCCTTTTTTCCCCTCCTTGAGTAGGAAATAGTCAATAATAACATTATCTACTTCTTTGGAATATCCAGGTGGGAACAAGATCAGTTTTGGCAGATTTTCATACTTTTCATCACTTGTTTTTTGTCATATGCAAACTACTTAAGGAGGTTGTCGTTCAAAGACCTCAAATTGCACAGCCAGCAAAACCTTCAGAAGGGGGTTTCTTGCGGCAACCCTATTCAAGTATCCTAGCAAGTCCACCAGAACATGCTGTGGATATTACTAACTGGGACAAGTTCTGCACTTTGCTTTCTGCAACTCTCTGGCCTTTTATGTCCACATGCCTAAGAGAAGGAAAGGAACTAATAGGTCTCAAACAGTGTCAGGTAAATCTCTAGCAGTGTTTCTTATGAAGTTTAACAACATTGTTCATGTTGTTATTTCCACCTATTATACCTTCATATCTAACTTTTGTTTCAGATATCTTGTGTTCGTTTGCTTGAGTTGCTTCCTCTGGTCTATGAGAGGGTCAACACAAATTGCCGTACTCAAACTTGCAGTACGATGACAGTGTTTCAGGATCCTATGGATATTTCATGGTTTATTCACTTGGTTCACTGGGGAAAATCATCTCTCCTTGTGATTATCAGACATTGGAAACAGTGCATGCTCTCTTTATTGAAAGAACTAAAATGTTCACATAGCGGTACCATTCAATGCTACATTGAAGATCTTGACAATATCATTTCACATGGTTAGAAATATAAATAATGCTCAAAGCTTTGAATCTGTTAAAAGTTTAAAAAAGAAAAAAAATTGTAACACCTTTTGCCTTTTTTCAGATGCAGTCAATATCAAGGAACTTGAAGAGAGAGTTTCAAATCTTAAACTTGTACTGTCCAAGGAGGCTACCACAAAAATTGAAAGGGGAGGGTTAACTGACTTACCAATGTTCAAAGAACCAATTGTTAGTGTTCCCTCTCCAGTTCAGGAGAGACATTCTGGCATGGACAGTTTTGTGGATGTTGAAAGCACAAAGTCCTCCCATTCACCAGATGTTCATGAAATAATTCTTCTTTCAGACAGTGAGGATAATTTACTGGCACCTGATGTGTCCACTGAGGAGGTTCTGTCATCAGTTATGGAGAATGATGCATCCACTGCTTCCAATATGTTGAAAGAAGCTACACCTCTTGAACAAAGAATGCTGAACGACGATAGACACGTACCTTTAGAACCGCAGATATGTCATCCTGTTAGTAATATTAGTGCCTCTTCTAAACCTGTGTCAACAGATAGTAGGGACAACATTGCTGCCACAAAAGGATTACTTGGAATGAAAAAACCGAGGCTGCCAATGAACACAAATAATAATTCCACTTCACCCAAAGTGGTTAAATCATCTATTGCTGGCGCTTCTCAACAACTGCGTCCTAAATTGTTGTCAGATACAGAAAAATTTAAATCCATCTTCAGGGATCTATCTGATGATGAAGATGATCCTTTAGACCATGCACTTGATAGTTACCGAAGGCCCCAGATTCTTTCAAGAAAGCCTAGTATATTAGTTCCTAAGAGACAAGTTGTTCAGCTTCCAGTGCCTGTTGGAAGAAAACCAGGTTCTGGCAGTAGGGTTACAAGTACTCGACGACTTCAACCACCTAAACTGGGTAGCTGGTTTAGAAACATATTGGAAATGGACTACTTCGCTGTTGTTGGGTTATCTTCTTCTGAGATAGTAAAAAAACCCGCTTTAAAAGAAGTTCCGGTATGTTTTGATTCACCAGCTCAATATGTTGAGATTTTCCAGCCATTAGTTCTAGAAGAGTTCAAGGCTCAGTTGCAAAATGCTTATGTTGAGACCCCTCCTGATGACATGATGTGTGGAAATATATCTATCCTCTCAGTTGAAAGAGTTGATGATTTCCTTATTGTCCGTGCCCGCCCTGAGCATAGCCATTCAATCAAATTCAGAGGTTGCTCAGAGAATGATTTAGTACTACTCACCAAAGATCCACTGAAGAACCAAGGACAGCAAGTCCATGTGCTTGGGAAGGTACAGTTGTTCCCATCATTGTTTGCCAGTCCAATGAAATATACTCTTTTAAGTGTTGTCAAATATTTTTCTATTCTTTCAGGTGGAGTGGCGTGAGAGTGATAAAAATAAGGTATTGATTTTTGTGATGAAGTTCTTTCTTTCTAGTGACGATGCACGTCTAAATAAAGTGAAACGGCTTCTTGTTGAAAGAAGTAAGTGGTTCTTGAATCGGGTTATGAGCATGACCCCCCAAATTCGTGAATTCAGTGCCCTGTCGTCGTTACATGATATCCCAGTGCTTCCGGCAATCTTGAATCCTGTTTCTTGCGCTGCAAGCCATCACAAATCTGGAAAAGTGTATCTTGATCGACTTGCACACCCTCTGAGGAAAACATTAGAGTCATCATACAATGACAGCCAGCTCCAAGCTGTAAACATTGCCATTGGACCAACAAGCTCTAAAGCAAATTTTGATCTGTCCCTTATTCAGGGCCCTCCAGGTTTGTCCTTCCATGATGTTTATGTGCAATTTTGTGTAACTCTAACCACCATGTGTAAGAAGTGTAAATATTTGTACTTGCTTTTTCTACAGGTACAGGTAAAACAAGAACAATCGTAGCAATTGTAAGTGCATTGCTATCTTTACATGCAGATGACCCTTACAAGTCACAGAGAAATGAGAACGTGGGTAGTACTGATTTTACCAAGCCAAGAGCAAAGATTAGCCAATCTACTGCAGTAACTAGAGCTTGGCAGGATGCAGCCCTTGCTAAACAACTTGAAAAGGATTCTCAGAAAGAATGTCCTCGAACGGCAGAGCGGTTTGCGAAAGGAAGGGCTTTAGTTTGTGCGCAGTCAAATGCTGCAGTTGATGAGCTTGTGTCAAGGCTCAGTGAGGGATTGTACGGTGCTGATGGAAAGCTGTATAAGCCTTACATAGTGAGGGTTGGTAATGCAAAGACGGTCCATTCTAATTCGTTGCCTTTCTTCATTGACACACTTGTTGAGCAAAGATTATCAGATCAGTTGAAGATTAATAATGATGGCAAAAAATCATCTGATGCTGAATCCTCAAGTTCACTTAGGTCTAAATTGGAGAAGGTCGTGGACAGAATTAGATATTATGAGTCAAGGCGAAAACTAATTGAGTCTGATAAAAGTGAAGATGGTTCTCCTGTACCTGATGAAGATGAGGTAGATGAAGTTTCTGATGAAGCACTTGGTGGAAAGCTTAACTTTTTGTATGCACAGAAAAGGGTAGTTTCTGCAGAACTTGCCACTGCTCATGCTCGTGAAAAGAAAATAGCTGATGAAAACAAGTTTCTAAAGCACAAGGTACGGAAGTCGATTCTTGGAGAAGCAGAAATAATTGTGACTACACTTAGTGGGTGTGGAGGTGACATTTATGGAGTTTGCTCGGAAACTGCTTCATCTAATAAATATGGTACTTTTTCGGAGCATGCTTTGTTTGATATTGTTGTTATTGATGAAGCTGCACAGGTATTTCCTTAGCACTTACTGGGTTCTGAAATTGTTCTAGCTCTGTTTTTCTAACATAGTTTGTCTTGAATTCCTCTCTATAGGCCCTTGAGCCTGCAACCCTAATTCCCCTTCAGGTTCTGAAATCGAGAGGAACTAAATGTATTATGGTATTGTGTTACTTTATACTTTTTGGCGATACACTTATTTTGAATTACACTGAAGCTATAAGAGATTTTGCACTTATTTACTAAAAAATGTTCCTTTTGAAGGTTGGTGATCCAAAGCAACTCCCTGCTACTGTGATGTCTGGATTGGCTAGCAAGTTTCTTTATGAGTGCAGCATGTTTGAACGCTTACAAAGAGCTGGTTACCCAGTGATTATGCTCACCAAACAGGTTGTTTATTATTGCATTATGTTTCTAACTTTCTATAACACAGCTTAGATTTGTGTATCATCTTTGCATGATTGGCATGCCTTGCTTCTCAGGGGATTCCTGAGAGGAAGGGCAGCCTTCTCAGTTTTTACTGATAAGGCCTTCTATTGCTGGGCCATCCAAACAGTTTATGCTGTCTTCTATTTTGTGCTGTATGATTGGATTCTAGTGCATGAATAGCTTTGTGCAATTGTAATGATCTTAATACTGAACAGTAACAACCTTGACGACATGATTAAATGGAGTAACAATATTCAAATTTCTCTTTGTCATGAATTTGCACAGCTAGACCCTTATTTTCTCTTATTTGTTTGTTTATTTATTGGTTCTCTATTGCTAGATATGTATGCAAAATGTGAAATAGAAGTAAACTTTTATGCTAATTCCTAGCTAATTATTTCTTTTGACCTGCCTGCAGTATCGCATGCATCCAGAGATTAGCAGATTTCCATCTTTACATTTCTATGAAAATAAACTGCTTGATGGTGCTGAGGTGGCTGATAAATCGGCTTCATTTCATGTTCATGAGTGTCTTGGTTCATACATGTTTTTTGATATTGCTGACGGTCGTGAACATTGTGGAAGAAATGCTGCTACACAGTCACTCTGTAATGAGTTTGAAGCTGACGCAGCTCTTGAAATATTGTCATTTCTAAAGAACAGGTGAGGGTATTGTCTCTCTACCTGCTCATGTTTACTATTGTGTAGGAATCTAAGGCTCTATACTTTCTTTGTGAACAGATATCCATTGGAGTTTGCCTCTAAGAAAATAGGGATCATTACTCCGTATAGAAGCCAGCTCTCTTTACTGCGTTCAAAGTTCACTTCCTCTTTTGGGCCTGAGATTGTTGCTGAGATGGAAATAAACACTGTGGATGGATTTCAAGGTCGTGAAGTTGATATCTTGCTGTTGTCAACTGTTAGAGCCTCAAATTCTTCAGGTGATAGGCATCACACTGGTGAAGCACGCAGCATTGGGTTTGTTGCAGATGTTAGACGTATGAATGTCGCACTAACACGCGCCAGGCTTTCTCTATGGATTGTTGGAAATGCAAGAACTTTGCGGATTAATTCACACTGGGATTCCTTAGTACGTGATGCTGAAGAAAGGAATCTGTTTGTCTCAATTAAACGACCATATGGTTCGATGTTTGAAAAGGGCCAACCTCATTCCAGAGATACTCATAGATATCACACTAGTCATCTTAAGCAGAAGGATAACAAAAAAGCTGCTTTGATGAGCTCAAAGAGAATTGATGCTCAACTCCAGGAGCAACCAACACATGCTATAAGGAATGTAGAAAAAGAAAGTCTATCAAAAGTACAATCAAAATGGACATTATTATGGGACCAAAAGATTCCTAGAGCTCAAGAGTCTGTTATGAGATCTAGTGAAGACAAGTCACAGAAGCATAGTGGTAATATGAGAGTCACCAAGTGCTCACTGCAAGAAAACATGGATCAGCATTCTGTTATCAGAAAACAAATGGATGGTAAAAAATTGGCTGTGCATAATGATAAACATCTGGAACTTTCTAAAGGCTTGGTTAAACGAGGTGATGAGGGCTCTAGTGTCACAAGGAAGACGGAATTGAATATTCCTGTGGAGCAGAATCTTTGTAAGGAAACTAATAAAGCTTCAACTGACCAAGAGTTGTTTCAGAATTCAAAGGTGAGGACACATAATAAAAAGAGTACCAGCGAAAACAGCAAGAAAGATGTTCCTCCACTGGCAGTTTCTGATCTGCAGAAGTTGATACGAAAGGCAAAAGGAGCAAGGAGGGTTTCTGAGAAACCTAGATGTGATAATTCAAATCATGAAATTTTGGATCCAGCGAATAAGAATGATGGTGCTTATCCACCAACAGACCCTGATATGAAGAAAGCTAATAAGGCCAGAGGAGCTAGGAAGTTTTCTGAGCAACCAAGACCTGGGAATTTAACTCAAGTGGGTCCTGCACGTCCATCTCATTTTGATGAAGCAAGTAGCCATGTGCCAGAACTCAAGAAAAGCCGATCCAGTAAGTTAAATAGTCAAAAGAGATTTGGTTGCAGAAAGGAAACGACAGCGTGAGGATGTCGACACTCTGCTTTCTTCAGCTCTTATGCCATCAACGAAACCTTCCTCAACTCGTCATACTAAGAAACAGAAATGAGAAGACTCCAGCAAAGGCAAGTTGATGATAGCTTAACTTTGCTATGGATAAAACAGAACTAGTTTTATGTCTTTTTTGCTAGTCAGTGCATTGCCATTTAGACTTAAAAAGTTGTCTACCACTTGTGCTTTATGTGCAGAACTCATGTCTTCAGTATAGTTGAAGGCTGCACATTGATTTTTCACTTCAATATGCTAGGTGCCTGATTTTTTGTTGTTATTCAGGCAATTATCATTGTTTGGCTAATAGAAAAAAACTGTGAATTGTCTTGTGAGTTATCCTTTTAATGTACTACTAGTTGGTTGTGTAAGATTGTTTCCCAAAAATTCAGGCATCCTAAATATAGCAACTCTCTTACTTTTTCTGTTTGTCATGTACTCATGACTGATCTTTTATTTTTGCTGCTTGTTATTTATAAATTTCTGCCTCCTTTTATTAGACATTGATGGTATATTTATACTGTGACTGCATATGATTGATTAATTGATTCACCTGTAATTCTATATCCACAGCAATTTAACATATTTATACCTTAAATGAAGCTTTGTATTAGCACTAAGTTTCCATCTCTTCGTGTTTGTGTTCGGATTTACTTCAATTGTTTTGATATGCTATTCTGAAGCTAACACACTTATCTGTAAAATTGTAATCAGGTGGCTAATCTCATGGGTATGGCAGCTTTTGTGAAGCAGTTTTGGTAGCAATGGTGCTTGGATTATGAGTTTTTCCGTCTTCCAAAGCAATAGTAGAGGAAAGCTAACTGCCTGTTATCTAGGAGCTGTATGTGTAGCAACTTACAAACATCCAGTGCCCCCAAGGAGCCTTCCCTCCATACAGTAGCAACTGATTCTTCCAAGTGCTGGAAGTTTTTGGATGGCTGTAAATTGTTTCTTACGTCATTTTATTTCCCATTTTCATCCGTTTGGATGCGAGCAAAATGGGACCATACAGACAAATAGAGCGATCATACTGCTTGTTGTAGCGCAAGCCAGTTTGGCACTGTACATATTTGTAAATAACACCCTTGTAGCAAGAACGCGGATTAGCATTTGAACATGCCTGGTGGTGTCCTTAAAATGAAATAGTTATAGATATATAGCGTGTGTGTGGTGTGGAGCCAAATTACGGCAGAGGCTCTTGGCCCTCGCGTCTATCTCCATGGGGTTCCCGTTGCCTGTAGTGGTGATGGCTTGGGACGTGAGTCGTGAGGTTCTCGTTGGCGATCCTCGATAACACGATAACTTGAAGTAGAAGGTAGAAGAGAGAACAGGGATGAGTTTCTGTTACTTCACGTGTTATAAGGCAAATTTGATGCACTCAGGGGATACGAGTGAGCCTTCCTGGCAGAGTGAATCTAACACGAGTAATATAGGGAAGAGGAAGATGGGAGATGGGACGCAGATCATCACCCAGCTCGCAGCTTGCCGGCTAGAGCTCTGCAGATGTTGACTCTACTGTAGCCACTCCAGATCCTCCTGCCTTATCGTCGTGAGCAGCAAGTCCTCCATCCCCCAGCTAGTCCGGCTCCAGCCTCACTACATCAGCATCTCTCAGGGGGGCCATGTCCTCCTTGGCCTGTGCAAGCTCATCGAGTGTCATAAAAGTGTGTGAGCTGCTCTCAGTCCCGGCCTCCATATCTGTCCGTGGGTAAAGTCATACAGTGGTAGAATGACTTCGAGCTTTTGCTTACCGATGGAAACAGTTCCATTAAGAAATTGCCACTTTTATTTGCAAAAGTAAATGTTGTTTTCTCATAGAACTAAATTAATTAAAATTGTACTCTGGGCATATGACTTTAGCAATTTCTCCTCCCGCACCAGTACGACCATTACTCTATCCCAAAATAAACAACTTTCTGTAAAATTTCAGGTAGATTAAGGGCATGTTTGGATGCACCCAACTAAAGTTTAGCGCTAAAATTTCAAAGTAAAACTTTAGCCAGCTAAAAGTTTTCAACTAAAATTTAGCTGGGGGTGTTTAGATGCTCCAGCTAATAGACTTAGCTAAATTTTAACTGGGTTGAAATAGCTAAACCCAGCTAAACTTTAGCTGGTCTTTTACTGGGCTATTTGGATACCTAGCAGCTAAATTTATCCAGCAAAACTTTAGCTGGTCTTTTATTGGGTTGTTTGGATGCCTAGCAGCTAAATTTATGCATCTAAAGTTTAGCTGGTGCATCCAAACAGGCCCTAAGGACACTGGTAAATGACGTATGTATCCTCATCTCTTTTCCTTTTTCGAAGAATATCTTATGGATTTGGCGGTCATCATTTTGCATGTACCTATGATTAGCTTTCGTATTAAAGTCCCATGTTTTAGTATAATGTTATTTTTTCTAAGATCAATTTTAAATTTTGGAAAGTTATTTATTTTTTGACGGAGTATGTTATTCGTGAGATTTTCTAGATTAGAGCTATATTTTGTAAAAATGAGTGTACATCTCGCACTTCGAGGAGTCAAACAAACTTAAGTTTGACTAAATCTATATGAAAAATACTAAGATTTATAATATCAAGAAACCATCATTAGATTAACCAAATCATAAATTTTTATACTAATCCTATTTAGAGATATAAATGTTAATACTATTTTTTTTTATAAATCTAGTCAAACTTTGATTTGTTTGACTTCTCAAAGTGCAAGATGTGCATTTATTTTAGAGTTGAGGGAGTTTTCTTTTCTTTTCTTTTTTTGAAAAAAAATGCATCCGCGCGCACGGGCCTTGCTGTGCTGGTTTGTACCTGCGTGTTGACGCCGCATCCGTCAATGACCAGTTGTTTGGGTATGGTAATGGACGACAGCCCTGATACACGCCAGCTGACATGCACTCACTGACATTGTGCTATTCTACATTGCGCATGCTAACAGCCACCAACGCATGCTGTCTTTCTGCTGCTTCAACCGCCATGGCAAAAAATGTCAAGATAAACTAGACAAAGGGGCAGGAAGAGATAAAATATCTGTTTTAGTGGCACACACAGTCAACTTGTCGAGCACCAGGAGCAGCAAAGGCAAAGCACGCATGGGTATGGGTTCCATGTCATCCATGCAACGAAGGTTTTCGTAGTACATCAGCTACGACGGCTAGCCCGACATGAAGGACAAACGACTTCACATCACAGGCCGTTGCGCGCGGCAACAGTCTCAACTGAATCACAGATACAGATCACATGCATGGTTTGTTCAGGACAAGTCCGGCAGCTTCAGACGACATGCGTGCACTCGCTCCCGTTCATCTCTGCAGATTTGCCGCTGATGACGCAGCCGCTGTGCCCCCTGAGATTGACGACGTCGAGGCTGTAGAGTATGGGGACCATGACCATGGAGGAGAGGAAGGCGAGGAGCGGGCCGAAGATCCAGAGCAGGAGGGGCACCCCGGCGTAGAAGAGCCTGTTGCCGACGAGGTTGAGGGTGAAGCCTCGCTCCAGGACGTCGCCGACGTAGTCCCTGGTGTGCGGCAGCGGGAGGGCGGCGTCGGAGTCGGCGGAGGAGGAGAAGAGGCATCCCGAGGTGTTGATGAGGAAGCTGGCCTGGTTGAGGAAGCAGATGGCGAGGGAGTGGCAGAGGAAGGCGAAGAGGAAGAGCAGCATGAGCGCCACGTACTTGAGCGCCATCATGTACTCGCCGTGCGCGCCGAACACGGTGTCGCTCAGCGGCTTCTTGATGGTGTAGGTGCTGCTGAGCACCGCCGCCACGCCCGTGCAGAAGAGGATCGCCGTCGTCGCCATCAGCGTCGACCCCATGATCACGTTCCGCACCGACTGCACCACCGTCACCGCGTTCTTGGCGTTGTCCTGCATGCAGATTTAATTTCCCGCGAGAGCGAGCTAGCATCATCAGCCAACCATGAAAGAAAGAAAATTCACAAACAATGCGCCGTGCTGCGCCGCGTACGTAACGTGACGTAGCGTAGCGTACCTTCATCATGCCGATGGCCCAGAGGCGGCGCGTGGCGGAGTTGATGCCGACGGCCGTGCGCAGCGGGCGGAGGCGGACCTCGCGCCACAGCCAGGCGTGGTACGCCATGGGGAGGAGCAGGCTGAGCGGGATGAGCACCAGGTCCAAGAAGCTGTCCCTCCACTCCATGATCCACCCAACGAGCAGAGCAAGCACGCAACGCACACAAGCAACGGAACGACGCTAGCTAGCTACTCCTATAAGCAGAATGAATGCTTGGCTAAGCGTCGGATCAATTGGGGCAACGTTGCTTTCCGATCGATCAGGCGTCTGGAGCTGTCTGTGTGCGGGCCGGGCGCCCATATATATAGAGCAGGAACGGCCGAATTCCACACAAAGTCACAGAGAGATACGGTGAAGGAAGGATGCAGAGGTAGTGGCATCTTACACAAAGCCCACAAACTTTAGTAGCGAGCAATCAGTAGCTAAAAGTAGCAACACAAAACCCGGCCATGGCCAGAGTAGTAAGCTTTTTTTTTTTTTTTTTTGCGAAAACCAGAGCACTGCTCCAGTAATCAGTGAAAAATCTGCGCCCGCCCGCCCGCCGGATGATAAGCAGGTAGGCTGAACGAATGCCATCTCCTCGTCGCGTATGCGCCATGGAGCCATGGAGGCAGCATCGATGCTTGCCGGGCCGGGCACCGGGCACACGGCCGGGTGGAGCGCGTGACCCTTTCTTCGTTCCGGACGTCGTTGGTTTGGCTCGCAACCGAATGGCCGCACCCTGTTTGGTTCCGGATGGATTTTCTTTCAGCTCTTCGCCTTTCCGTTCTTGGCACTGGCATCAGGTGATGTAACTAAGACCTGACATTGTGCTACGACTACGAGGGTGCTTGCTTGGATTGAGGGGACTGCTCCGACGATCTTTTTTTTTCTCGGGTCATGTGGTTCAAATCTGAAACTAAATATATATGAGCAATTCTTGCCTAGTACGTACCTTCGTCTCACTGTAAGAACAAAA